AAAAAAAAAAAAAAAAAAAAGAGGAAAATTAGTCTGGGCACATGCATGGAGATAGTCTTCTGAGTAAGAAGGTGCTATTTATAAACAACCAACTTTTCAGCACAAAACCACCCTTAATGATTTTGTTTATACTTTAATGTATACAAGAAAACATGCACCCAAGATAAAGTATGTTTTAATCTGAAACTGCGTATGACATTTTATAGTTAAAATTATGCATCTGAAATGTAATTAGCAGTCTTACCAATTAAGGGATAAAAGCGTGTCACCAAGGAAGCACCAGTCTGATAGCAGGAAAGAAATGTACTGAAATAATGCTTAGCCTGATGTGAGGGCAGGGTCTGTTGATACCAAAGGGACCGTGCAAAGTTTAGGCACAATTGCTGATGGACCATAATCACTGTCTTCATTGAACTCTGAGATATGAAAGTTATTTCAGTGGCTGCTAGGTCCTCTGACTCATCTTCAGTTTCCATTTTTTCTTCTAGACTTGGCTCAGCTATGATATCTTGAAAGTCCTGTAATCAAAGTCATAATTAATTTGTTGACATGCTACATGTATTTGTAGTGCAGTAATCAGATGATTAATCAACCTGGCTGGACCTGCTGGCATTCCTCTTCAATTTTCCAGTACAGGGGGATCACAATCCTGGTCTCCCCCAGCAATGATAAGGAGTAATGGTGCAACTGGGATCTGAGCCCAACAATTATGCCTCCTGCTATGCACATGCAGGAGGCATGATTGTTGGGACTGGGGATCAGATTCCATTGGATCATTAAATGAATGTGCATAAAGGGGCCTTAGTGTTCTCACTACATTGAAAAATTATTAGAGCAGCAACCCCCAACCCACGGCTCCCAATTTGAGCAACTTTGTTCCAGAAGGTTGAGGATACAAACTAGGAGATCATCCGTCCTGGATCTTGTCCTGAACAATAGGGAAGAACTGGTGGTAGACATGAAGGTGATGGGAAACTGGGGAGGAAGCGATCACAATATGATAGAATTCCAGATCCTGATTGGGGGAAAGCATAAGATCAGCAGAATTAAGACACTAGATTTTAAAAAAGCAGCTTTCAACTGATTCAAGGAGTTAATAGGCATGGTGCCATGGAAAGACAGATTGAAAGATAAAGGAGTCTAGGAGAACTGAAAGCTTCTAAAGGACACAGTTCTAGAAACCCAGCAAGAAAGTGTTCTGACATGATGGAAGCAGCACAAGAACACAATGAGCTTGTAGGATGCCTGAAATAAAAAAAGAAAGCATATAGGCAATGGAAAGATGGGTAGGTCACCAAGGAAGTTACTACAAAACTGCAAGATCCTGCAGGCACAAAATCAGAAAGACAAAGGTTAAAAAAAGCTGCACCTGGCGAGGGAGGTTAAAGACAATAAGAAGAGGTTCCATGAGTATGTCGGCCAGAAAAGAAAGACCAAGGAAGCTGTGGGTCCACTGTTAAATAGACAGGGGGAACTCTTAACAGAAGATGCAAAGAAAGCAGAACTATTCAACAGCTATTTTGCTTCAGTCTTCATAAAAAAAAAAAAGCTGTAACCAGACAGCTGATAAGGATTATTTGGACAAGGAAGGAGACAATCTGAAAGATGAGATAAAAGAGATGAGATAAAAAACAGTCCGAAGGCTTTTGATCAGTCCAAATGAATTCAAGTCAGCAGGACATGATGAACTTCAATCCCAGGATACTGAAGTAACTAGCAGAAGAGAGATCTCAGAGCCATTGGCAATAACGTTTATGAAATTGTGGGAGTCAGGTGAGATGCCATACAACTGGAAAAGGGCCAACCTAGTAACCCCCTTTAAAAAAACACCAAAAGGAGCTGGGGAACTACAGACTAGTTAGCCTCCCTCATCTTGGGTGCATGAATGGAATGCTGTCATCTGCCAGTCTGCTCAAGAAGCTTCCAATTCCAGCATCCAAATCATTAACAAGCATATTGACAGTGTATCTGAACTTCAGCAAGGCCTCTGACAAGGCCCACATAACCTTCTCATAAACAAATTGGAGAAATGTGGGCTAGACAAAACTACTATAAAGTGGATAAGACAACTGGCTCAATAGCTGCCAGCAAAGGGTAATTATAAATGGCTCCATGTCAGAAAGGCAGGAGGTTTTAAAGTAAAGCCCCATAGGGGTCTGTTCTAGGCTCAGTGCTAGTCAGTGGTTTGGATGCTGGAATTGAGAGCTTGTGTAAATCTGCAGATGACAAAAAACAGGAAGGACTGTGGATATGGACAACAGGAGTGCAATTCAGAAGGATGTTAACAGATTGGAAAGCTGGGCTGGAACAGTGAGGCAATGGAACAGACTGCCTAGGGAAGCTGTGAAATCTGTCAATGGATGTGTTCCAGTTAGTTGGACAGGCACTGGTCACAGATGATCTAAGAGTAGCTATGCCTATGTTCTACTACAGGCATTTCCCATGCTTCTGGGCTTTGCTGGTTGCCACATGAGATTGGGAAGGAATTTTTTTGCTGCTTGTGTTGTGGGGGAGGATGGTTTTCCCATTCTCAGAAACACAGGGCGTTGGTTACAGCCAAGCAATTTTGACTGGGGTGCGCCACTGCTCCTAAAACTTGAGAGGTTCCTGGCTATAAAAGTCTTGGCCCTCTACTCAGGGTCAAACTGACTGCCTTACTTGGGCTCAGGAAGGAATGTTTACCCTGGTACAGCCGGGGGAGGGGGGGGGGGGGTGCCTT